TGCGCATATCAGTCCGCTGATCTATAAAGAGATATAAATATATATTGTCTGTAGACACCTACATCTGAATGTATAATTGGCAATTTTTGATTGCATGCAATTCGTAATAAAAAAATAGATATAACCAAAGCACATTTACGTATGTACGTTTGCCGGCGCTGCCATAGTGATATTCGCGTAATTAATAAACGAATGACCCTGCAGTAAAATTTAGAGACAGTCTGACAAAGCGCTAGTTACGAACTACATATGTAAGAACTATCACCGAACTAGTGCAAAACGGATGCGGAGCGGGACAGTTAAAACTTGCCGTGGAAATGTGCAAATGCTCACTACTCGTAAAATACGAAAGTAGCTCAGCGAGAAGACCTCCGCGACTCAAGCATGGTTGGTCGCGAGTTCAAATCGCGGTGGAGGCAGCTTACAATAATTTTGTTTTTTTCCACAAAAATTTCTAACAAAAATGGAATCTGTAAAAGAAAAGAAAAAAAACGAGAAAGATATCCAAAAACGTTTTCGTATAAAAAAAAAAACAAACTGTCCAAAACGGAACCGGTTAAAAACTAGTTGAAAAGAAATGCACTGGGCGACAATTGCCATCGCCAAGACAAGGACATCGCTAGAACTAGTACAGTCGGCAAAAGGTCTAGTTCGGAGCTAGTCAGAGTTTCTGCAGGGAGATACAAACACACACACACACAAGCATGTGAAACATACACATACATATATACATACAGATATGTATAGCTGAGGTAGATGAATGAAAAATCCACCCTTACTGCACGGCAGCTTTTTTCGGCTAACACTCCGTATGTATGTATTTATGTATGTATGTACATATCTACAAGTACATATGTACATAGTTATATTTGTAGAGCCTAGCTTCCAACCTAGCCAACCAGCCATTGAGGCCTACCACCCACTTGCATACATATTTATCAATTGCATGTGAGTTCACACAAATGTACATAGATATGCATTTATCTGCAAGCTTCTTTTCATAGGCATTGAGCAGTTAGTTGGCTGTTACCCACTCAGCAATTTCGCCGGCTGCAAACCCCTAAGGCAAATGTCAGTCAACTTTGAAGCTATACACGCCAGGGATAGCAGCACCCAAAGACCCACTTTTTCTGAAGGTGCAAGCATACATATGCACATTAGGGTGGTACAAACAAAAAGCAATCAAAAACCGTTAGTATTAAAAAGTGGTTAAATAAACAATAGAGTATTATTACTGGAAGTCTCCTAAAGTCCCTATCGAAAAATATTGATTTTTAAAAACTCTATACCATTTCTACGAAAAGTTGATTTTTCCGTGGAAAATTGTGAGCGCTTTGAGCGACCTCAAATTTTTTTCTGATTTCAAAATAAGCATTCAAATTCCGACTTAATTTTTTTTTTTTTTACCAACCTAATGTACATACATATGTGCCACATATCATCATCATCACCGATGCAGACACTGTGGGTTTATTTTGAAAAACAAAAAAACTTTAGAGCAACGAATTTTTCGCGTTTAAATATCTGTCCATTTTTTCGGTACCATATTTTTCACCTATGGTCACCTAAGTAGTTATCGAGACCAAGGATGATCTAATGTAACATACGCCTATTAGGCCTATTATATATACGTTTTGCCATACTTTTGACAGGCGTTTCATTACCACGAAGTGACCTTGTAAAGCGGAATAGTGCTTCGGTTCTCCTTGTTGATATTTCCGGGATGGAGGAGTTAACTACGGCCCTGGGCAGCTTCTTTCCTGGCGACTTCATTGCGTACGTCTCCACTTCTATGCCTTAAAGAAATGGTTAGAGTAGGCTGTACTGGCTATCCGGCTATCCTCATCCAGATTCAAGATGATGGGCCACGTAGGCCGTGTAGTGACATTTTGGCAGGTAGTTGGTTCCAACGTAGGAAGGAACTTAAAGTTTACCTTTTGCCTTAGGTATAAACCTGATGCTGGATAGGTGTAAGTAGCTCTAGAATCACCCCCAAAGTCGCGGTCGGTGTTGTTCTCTTAAATAGATCGTCAAGTACACCGTTAATCGGCTGTTAAATACGTACGATATTTAAGTAGATATGTATAGAAACATGTAGAACATCTCTGAAAGCATTTTCTATGAAAATAAGAAAAGTGTTTTGCTTCTGTGAAGTTTTAAAATGTCGTTTAGGGGGTTTTGCGTTGACGAAGTACATACATATGTACAAATACTTGTATAAAAATGCCAAGTGACAAAAACCAAGACTCTGTCTGGTTCACTTTGAATATGTAAAAATGTAGGCCTCTAACCGCAAGCGCAGATTTAAGCTAACTAATTTTTGAAAGTGTTCATAAAACAGCTCCGCTTTCAAAAAATGTTTAATTTCACAATATCCAAGAAGTCATAAAAACTTACTCATATATTTAACAATCCAAATAAAATAAGAAACCTCCATAATGCACTAACTCATAAATAAATAAACAAAAATGAATTGTCGCGCTAATTTTTAAAACAATTGCTAGCAAATGAAATTTTTGTAAAACTTTTCCATTGTTATTTCAAAAATTTTTTTTTATTATTTGCTCTCTCTCCTTTTTTTACCTACATACCTACACACATACATATCTATTTATACATTGTAGCTTCCATTTATATTATTTTTAAAATTTTTTCGCTGTTGTCTCACGTTACACGGCTATCATATCGAAATGCCACAAGTTTTATCCACTTACATATATGCACTACTGTAAGGCACACAGCACACAGCCCATAGCACATAGCACACAGTGTGCATTAGCGCTTCTTTGTTTTTGTTTGTTTGTTTGTTTGTGTATGTGTGTGTGTGTGTGTGTGTGTGTGTGTCTGCTTGTGTATTGTTCTATTGTACTTGTATGCATGCAGTGCTACTTACACCAATTTTTGCTTCTTGCTTGAAAAAGCAGTGGAAATTTCCACTGTGCGCACTCTGCATTCAGTCTGTCGGTTCGTCGTAGCACCATACCAGTTTCGTTTTGCGTATGCGGTGATTATACAAAAATTATCGTTACTTCTTTGTCACTTTTCAATTAAACTGCAGCAGCGAGAAAGAGACATAAACGCCGTATATACATAGCATAAAGGCATGAGGCATGCTACATTCGTCATCGGGTAGTTAGTTATGTGTATGCCTTATGCCTGGCGAGCGCGTATGTACATATAAACATTCTTCAACTCGATATCTCGTTACCCTATATGCCGACTATTAACCAACTCGAACTCGAATCGTTTCCCAGTGTCTGCCGTCTGTATACAGGCAGTCGTCGTCAGCAAGTCGTTTTGAGACACTGTTATGCAGGGGCGCACACAGGAGTATACTTTGGGGGGGATAGGAGGGCTGCATAGGTAGATTTGTACTTCTAAAGATATATCACCTGAAAATACTGAAAATTCGCTTCAGATAAACATTAATGCAAGTTTTAAGTACAGTATGTAATAAATAAATAAACTTTTTAAAATAAATTTATAAATTGCACTTTATTTGCATAAAATTAACAGCAAACTCAAACATTTGCAACCGACTTCAAAAAAACTCTTTCTTTATCGGAAAGATGGTACCTCAAGGATCGTCCCGTAATTTCGTTTAGATCCGATAATTGGATCATGAAAAAATTAACGGTACTCCTAAATTTTTATATGAGAATTGAAGGCGGTTGTGATTTTTGCTTAAAAATTACTTGTTTAATAAAGAGTTTTATAAACACAAGATGCGCTCAACTTTCAAAAGCAATAGAAAATGTTAAAAAATAGTTTTAATGTTCATTTTGCTCGATTTTTGGTTTCCGGTTTTCGATGAAGATGGCGATTTTTCATAATTCCCGCATTTTTTTAATATATCGAACACTGAAAAAATTAACTGAACTTATAATTTTATTTTGTACCTCATTTTGTTGAACGAATTAGAAGTTGGCAAAGTAATTCTTCAAATCCTTGTTAAGTACATGTCAGTGGTAAACTCTTTTAGGCTTTAAAGTGTAAAAAAAACAACAATAGGACAATGTTTTCATTCGCAGTTAAACCTTTAAGAGCTCTTAAGAAAAACGAAAAATTCATACATATTTATAAAATGACGCACCAGAGATGGAAAATAATTTTCTTCTATCAAAATTTCTTAAATCAGTTTGCAGCTCTCGAGAGAAAAATGCTCGAACATACATACATATATT